TCAAAATAGGACTCAGTTTAGACGAGTAATTTGCAAGGTGCTATATTTTAGGTAATAGCTCCAAGTTGTCTGATCCAGTGTCTCAGCTGCAGCATTGAGGGGAGATGATTGAAAAACCTGAGCTGCTGGTGAAGAGTTCATTTCTCTCTAAAGCTGCAGATTGCACAGAGCATCCTCAATAGTGTTGATTTTGCTGATCCATCCCCAGCGTTAGCAGTTGGCAACCTGAAGCAGGGAGCAAAATCAAATATATGTATTTATCAACTAGTAAGTGCTTGCAGATCCTGGGACATCTCAGGCAGGAACAGCTGAGGGTACAGAGCCTGAAATTTGGGATAAATGATGGAACACATGGAGAAAGGAGCCACAGACCCAAGCGAATGGCAGAGATTTCCCTGAGTTCAGCAGGACTGCCTGGCACTGGGATTAGCTCTCCCAGGCAGCAGCACAGGGCTCTGAGTGTTTATTTAGCTCCACTAGAAATGTGAAGTGTGGCCATCACTGAGCTCAGCCAGGCCAACCTGCAGGGCTCAGTGCTGTGTGCCATCAGTGCCAGATTTATTGCTCCTCACAGTCTCTCTTTCTCCAGCTCCACAGAACACATAAGGCTGCATTTACATTTTCTGAATGGACTAATCATGGCTCTCTGCTTTGATAAAGAAAGTGCAGCCTCCCACATAACCACATGGAAACCAACAGGGAAGAGTAAACCAGAAATAAACCCATTCTGGGGGGTTGAGAGAAAAATACCCACCAGGATAATTGGGAGGGATGTACAGAGAAGCAGCAACTGAACACATAGTCACATCTTAAAAAGAAAATAAATTATAATGCTAAAAATATCCAGGTGAAGGACAGCAAGAGAAAACATGATTGAAGTGGAACAATTGGTAGAGGAGTTAATAGTTATTAGCAATCATTTCAGATTGAATATAGGCTGGTTTTGTAACAGCACAAGGGATGATGCATCTGACAGGACTTAAACAATTGCCTCCCCCTTTCCCAAAGAGCCTTTTAGCAGTGCCCTGGCACAAACAGAGCAGTCTGCTCCCCAGGAGTTGGCCAAAGCAAACAGAGTTACTGGAAGTTTTTAGTTGTTAAATACAGTGAAGTTTGATCCCAGACAAGTCTTTCAAAACCTTTCCTCCCTGTATTCCAGACCTTAGCACATTTTAACATTGATCCCACTGTATGTTCCCCTGTAGCCTTTAAGGACTAACCCTGAGGGGTCAGGCAAAGTCCCACCAGTCTGGTGCCTTTTATCCACCAGTGTCCAAGAGCCACTGCCTGGGCAGGAGTGTAAAAATGGAGCAATATGGATGATATTCTTGGAAATAACCTCCCATCATCCAACTGTTCACTGTGCCAGGGTGGTTTCTATGCATTTATTAACCATCACTGGAATTCTTTCCCTGGGAATTGAAATTCCCCACTGTCTCCTTGACCCTGGGTCACTTTGGGAACATTTTGCATCCAGCCATCCTGTGGCCAGAAGCTTTACAGCTGAATGTGGACATACTCCCTGTCCTGCATCTGCTGGCACTGGGATCTCAGCTCTGGGCATGTGGGAAAGCCAACACTCAGCTCCAGATTCCCTCAGTGTTCCCAGGGAATTTGTGCCCAGAGGGAGAAACTGCAAACGAGTTATGATGAAAGGATTTAAGGGGCCTGAGCCAAATCCATCTTGCTCACATCTGAAGAGCTACAAAACCTTGTGCATTTGGAGATAAGTATTTTTCAAAGGGTTTTCTTGTTGTTGTTTCAGAGATTTTGTGTGTAATGTTTGTTCTAGAATATTGCTGGTGAGTAAAAGGGTATGTCCAGCACAGGGGTGCTAAAGACAAGTGAGCAAATGCTCTGCAGGGACAGAACTCAGGGCTTAGGAGCTCATTCCATGGCTTCTTTCACACGGTGGAAAGAAGTGCCCAAAGTTTTTCCAAGTAATGTGGAATCCTGCTTTCTTCTGGAGGAAGCTTGGCTTTTGTTTCCATCCAAACACTGAGAGAACAATCCCATGTATTTCTCATTCCAAGGGGGACAGAGCCTGGGGTGAGTGAGTCCATACCTGGCCATGGAGGGTTTTACAGTCCCAGGGTGATGTGGTTGTGACACAGGGCAGAGCTTTATCTGTGCCAGGGGATTAAAACTTCCAATCTCTGCTCTCCGTGACCAGGGACAGGACCCAGGGAATGGCTGGAGCTGTGTCAGGGAGGGTCAGGTTGGATCTCAGGGAAAGGTTCTTCCCCCAGAGGCTGGTTGGGCACTGACCAGGCTCCCCAGGGCAGTGGGCACGGCCCCAAGGCTGCCAGAGCTCCAGGAGGGTTTGGACAACGCTCTGAGGGACAGGGTGGGATTGTTGGGGTGTCTGTGCAGGGCCAGGGGTTGGACTGGATGGACCTTGTGAGTCCCTTCCAGCTCAGGATACTCTCTGATTCTATAAGCTTGATTTTGAATTCCAAAGTTTTAGTGAAACAGAGGATGGGAGGGTGGAGATTTGCTGATTTAACACAAAGGATGGATTTTAGGAGAAGAACACCCAGGGAATCGTGCTTTTTATGTTAAACCTGAGTCACTGAGGGGGAATAGTTTAGTCACAGGTCCTCACTGGTCTGTGCAGACCCTTCAGCCGGGGACTGTTGTGTTCCAGCTGCATTTCCCAGTAGGTTTGTAACCTGTGTGACCCCTGCCCAGTGCCTGGAGCCTTTGCTGACGGTGGCACAGCCCGAGGGAGGGTGGGGGGAACACACTGAACCAGCAATGAAGTGCCATTAGAGGAAAAGCTGAGTATTTCTGCCAGGCAGGTGTCTCACACTCCAGCCAAGCTGGAGGAGGTTGGAGTGCAATCTGTGAGCCCCTGCACACAGGCAGGGCTGCAGAGCCAGGGATGCCCAGCTGTGCCTCCCCTCGGGGAGCAGGGCACGAGAAATCACCTCGGCATGGCAGGCTGGGGGGGATGGAACCCCTCAGTGCAGCAGTGTCAGGGTGGGCACGAGGGAGGGACACTGTGTGACCACTCATCTCACCCAAATCCAGAGGGTGAGAGTGGCACAGAAGCAAAATGCCCCAGGGAGAGGCTGTCTGGGTGTGGGTACAACCCATGGCACCTGCAGCACACCCCACACTGAGTGTTCACAGGCTCCTGAGGGCTCACCAGCTTCTCTCTGAAGTCTGAAACATGCACTTTTACAGAGTGCCAGCCTGAACTTCCTCCTCACTCACCTGCCACCTCAGTGCCTGTGTGCCCGGGGAAGCCACACACCCAGATAAAACCAGGGCAGGTTTGACACACTGGATTTACACACACGTACCTGCAGGAAACATGCTTCTGGGGGGTGTTTCCTGCAAGCTGGCACATTGTGCAAGGCAACTCACTTAACCCATGGCACACACCTGCTCTGGAGCTGTTTCCAGAAACATTAAAGGGGAGGGCAGGCCCCAAACTCCCACCTTCGTGAGTTCAAACAGCCCCAGGAGATTTGAAGCCTGCACTTCTTTCCCCAGCATATTTCCCTGTCATGCCACACACTCCCCATGCAAGGAAAAGATAACCACATGGTGCACAAATCAGTGGAAAGTGCTTTTACAAAAACTCTGTTCAGAAGTAAAGAAGAAAGGCTTGAATGTCACAGAATTTCCGCAGCATGGAAAAGAAGTTCAGTGGGGGAAAAATAACTAGTACAGCGCTCTGTAGACTTATTTGGTGGAGTCAGAAGTATTGTCAAGAGGTTGGTTTTTTTCTAGATTGCTACAAGCAATTAATGGACTTTTACTTCGAGAGAGATAAAACCCCACAGGCACAGGATTGTGAATCCCTGACACCACTGTGTGTTCAGGGAACAGCAATCCCATGGAACAGGGAACACGCAGGAAATCCAACCCACGCCACTCAGAGGTGAATTGTAATCCCTTTGACCAGTTATATTGTAATCTTGTGGCTGGTTAGTTATGAAACAACCGAGTTATCTTTCATTTTTCCTGTGAGCTCTACCGGAAGAACAGGGATTCGTGTTCCTGGGAGCTCTGGGGCTCCACGTTTTGCATGTGGGAAAGTCGGGCTGAGAGAGAGACTTGGGAATGAAGTGAGGGTGTGTTATCTGTGCAGAGACAACCCACAGACAACAACCTGGACCAAAAACCCTCCAGCACTGATTAGGGCCCAGTGCCACCCTAGTGCCTGATTCCCTGCCCTAAAGCCCCGCTTTTCACTGCTTTCAAAAAGCTGGGTAAAACTTAGAACTGGAGGGCAATGGAAAAAAAATATTGATATACAAACAGGAAGGGCTCAGGTGTCCCTCGTGCCACAAAGGTGACTGTAAACCCTGCACAAAATCTGCTTGCAACATTCAGAGAATATTTCTGAAAGGGTTCCTTCCAGGGCTTCTTCGGGAAAAGGTGACAGATCTCCCCCCCTTCAGCAGGAAGGGTTGTTCAGGGGTGGCACTGAGAAGGAAATCTGAAGGGACACGAGTTTTCCTTTACCATGTGTGAAAAACTGAATGTCGTACGAGCAAAAGGAGTGTTTTCCCTCAAACAGTTTGACTGAACAGTCTTCTTCCCCGGGGAAATGGAATGTACCTACATTATATCCTCTCTACACATCCTCCTCCTACAGCCCTGCCTGTCACTCTCCTTCCATTGTGTCTGTGTGAGAGCAGTGTTAAGCATCAAACTTCTAAAAATGAACCCAGCTTCTTAGCAACTCTAAATGCCTCTTTAGCATACAATAACAACTGTTTATGGGCTTGCAGTGAGTGGTTTAGATGAAGAAATGAGGCAGCCTGACTTTTTCAATTTGAAAACTCGCTTTCACCTATTCTGTTGGAGAAGAGAACAGCTTAATGGGTCTTTTGGTACAATGACAAATATTTTCCTTTTTCTCCTGTCTTTATTTACACCTCTAGGCAGTGGTGATCACAGCAGCTCTGTGAATACACTCTCTGTATTCCCTTATTCACAACATTTGTATTTCTTGAGGAAAAGCATCGTCAGGTATCTCTTACCTTCAAGCCATACGAATCCCTCGAGCAGAGGTGTGAGCACTCTGTGCCAAATATATCCAAAACGCCACAACTCTCCACCGTGGCTTTTCCCAAGCTCTCCAGGGCCTTCCAGCAGACTTTCTGGCGTTCGGCGTTCACGCACGAGCAGAGGAGCAAAAAAAAGAGAAAGAATCACCTGCCCGATCCCCGCCAGCCGGGACTGGTGCAGGTGGAACTTGTGTAACCCCAGGCTGAGCTGGCGACTGCTGGAACTTCAGGAGCTCGGGAAGCGGCTCAGCTTCCCGGGAAGAGGCGATCTCGGCAGGGAACCGCTGTCCATCTCGCTCAGCGCATCGCCGGCTGGAACAGCAGCAGCTCCGTCTCCATCTCCCGGAGCCCAGACTTGGCTGAGCCGGCGCTCAGAGCCGCCCCTTCCTCCCGCGGCGCGATCCCAACAACCTGTTCCCACTCCAGCTCCCTCGGCCGCCCGCGGGGTGCGAAATTCCCGCAGCGCTTCCCTCTCTGCCTCGCCTGATGCTGGGAGGGAGGGGAAGGGAGGAGAGGGGAGGGGGCCAAGTTTCCTCCCCCGGATCCCTCCGGCTCCCGCGGGCGGGGACGGGCGGCTCCAGCGCCGGGAACGCGGGACCGGCTCCAGCACCGGGAGCGGGACAGCGCCGGGTCCCGGGGGGGCTCCGAGGGGCCGCGGGGACAGGAGGGAGCGGCTCCCACCGCCGGGGACTCGCGGGGGCAACGAGCCCTTCCCCGCCCGGCTGCCCTGCCCTGCCCTGCGCACGCACTGCCAGGTGAGCGCCGGGGATGCTGCTCCCGGGATGCTCCTCCCGGGATGCTCTGCCAGGGATGCTGCTCCCGGGATGCTCCTCCCGGGATGCTTTGCCAGGGATGCTGCTCCCGGGATGCTCCTCCCGGGATGCTCTCCCAGGGATGGCCCTGGAACGCCGGGCACCCTCCGAGCTCCAAGATTCCCGCTGCCTCTGCACAGCTGTAGGGTTTCGCAGGGAAAACACGGAATGACCCACTGCTAAGACAGGAAAGCAGGAATTTCTAAGGAAGCTGAGCGCGGTGGTCGTTCCCAGCGTTAACAGCTCGCACAGCTCCCGTGTAAAGGAACAGGGCACTGCCAAGGAGGGGCATCACTCACCTGCATCCTTCCCTGCAGAGTCCCAGCACGTCCCGGGGATTTGCTGAGCTCCCGGGCTGAGAGCTCCGCGGGGCTCCGCGTTAAACGCTCTGTAATGGGAAATAGATTCTCTTTGCAATTCAAATACCGAGTGAAACCATTTCCTGAAAGTGTAGCTGCTGTTGCAATATTTTAATATCTTCTTAGAGTTTAATATCCTTGAGACTGCCTCACTCTCAAAGCATTAGCAGCCCATAATTTGAAGTGTTTCCTAAGAAAGCTCTTTTTTTCTTATTCTTCCCCCCACCCCCCCACCCCCCGAAATGGCTTGATATCTTTTCTGAATGTGTTTCTCATCTTACCAAATAGCACTAGACAGAGAGATAACAGGAAGAAACACATCTCTCTGGTTGGGTTTTAAGGAAATTCAATTTCTGCAGAATTTTCTTCAAAGGAGTGGATCTCAAATGCTGCTTTCAGCCCTTCCTGGCAGTGAAACCCTAAAGCTCCCGACCCCTTTGGGGTGCTGCATACCCAAACTGTTGTGTGTACACACACTGTCCTTTCTGAGTCAGCTTCAGTGCTAAAGTCAAACTGAATTCTCCCGAACTTTCCAAGTGTTATTGCAATAGTTTCCTTTTTTTATCCAATTAATGTTCCACTGTGAGTTTTGCAGTGCCAAGGGAGCCAAATAAATACTAGAGCTGGGTATATGGAGAGCAATTATTTCTCCTGGAAAGCAGGACGGGAATGTTTTTGTACATTTTGCTTGCCTCAAAATGATTACATTTATTTAATGGATGGACAACACTCCTTTGAGATGTTGATGCTTTCTTTGAGGCCAAGAAGGACCTGTCCTCTCTTAGACTCCTTGGGCTTCTGGTTGTGTCACAAGATGTTTTCCATCCAGCCATCTATAAGAAAATGAACTACACTCTGAGTCAGGAAAACAGCAATTTAATAACTCAGAACTGGGAAAGGTGTTTAATGGACGAGCTCTGAGTCTCACTGACTCTGCCATCTGCCTCAGCCCTTTGATTTACAGTGTGGATGTGTTTAACTGCTTGTAAAACTCATAGCTGGGTGTTGCTGCTGCTGCTACATTTTTTTTTTTTTTTGCAGTCCTGCTAAAGAGAAAAGCTTTTATTTTTTCCACTGGAAAACTATGAATTAAAGCAATGGCTGGTCTGATGGGAGATGTGTGATAAATCACAGCTGCCTGGGCCAGAAATGCAGCTCGTCTGTTAGTCTGGAATGGGAAGAGCTGCAGAAAACTGCAGGAGATTTTAATGGGTGATGTAGCTGTCCTTGGGAAGTTTAAAGTGAGATTCATTTCCCTTGAATTTTGTATCAAGGATTTCAATAAATGCCCTGGAGTTAGATGAATCATGGGAGAAAATAAAGCACAATAACAAGGAAAACTGACTTCTAAAAAAAAAAAAAAACAGCCCTGAACCTGAAGCCAAAACAAAATGAAACTTCAAACCCACAAGTAGAACCTTCTCAAGAGAAGCAAAACCTTCTCCTTTTGGGGCATTTCTGGTTTGTGGAGAACAGTTCCTGGGGCAAATCTCCTGAGTGTTCTGCAGCATTTCCTCACCATGTGTTCACTTTTTCTGCCTCTTTAACAGGAGACTCAGTCCTCTGAGCAGCACAGGGAGATAAGAGGCCTCCTGCACTGCACCATGTCACTGCAAAAGGGAGTTGGCAGTGGAACATCAGTCACTGAGATCCTCAGCACGAGGCAGTTCATTATTTCACTGCTCCATCACACGCTGCTGGTGGGGAAGGTTTTGGAGAGACAGAGGGGCTTGGCTGACAGCTGGATTTCTCTGATGCAAGGAGGAGTTGGCCACAAATGCAGAAGGGCAAATGTTTCTGACTGCCCTGGGGACAAGGCAGAGGTTTCTTAGGGGCCAGTCCTGAACTGTGGAATGAGCTTCCCTTCAAGTTTATCACAACTTTGCTGCTTTCTGTGTCAGGCCCATCTCTTTGGCTTCGCCTTTCTGGCATCAGCATTCTATAAATATAAAAATAAGGAAGATCCTCAGAGCAAACCAGTGAACACAGTTCATCCTCACCAGGAAAAAACCCCACCCAAACTCCTTAACACGAATTAATTGACCCAAGTGCATCACACAGGATGCTCAGGTCTCACACAGAGTGTGCCACATGAAAACTCCCTGTTTCAGAGCAGTGCTCCTTGGCTCATGGGGGTTGCTCAGCACCTTGTCTGGAGCAGTGGTTCTGCAGGCTCCTAAAACTGCCCTTCTCTGGGGGTCAGTGCTGTGCAGTGAGTACGACAGGCTGAGAAGTGCCCAGGCTATGGAACCCCAGCAGCTCCTTCCTCTACGGCCCCTGCAGCCAGCTCTGGATTTAGCAACTGGAACCCCAGTCAAGGGCCAAAACCCAAGTCCCCCTTCCCCTGGTTTGCCTCAGTTTGCCTCCCTTTCTGTGCACCTCCAGCAGCCAGGAAGGTGGAGGTGGATCCACGTGGATCCTGGCTGGAATTTGGCAGTTCTCCTCTCCCCTCACGTGCTCCCTCCCGGAGCTGCTGCAGAGCCATTGGGCTGCAGGTTGTGCCACCTCTGCTATAAACACATAAACCAGCACATTAGCATCGTCTGCTCTCTCTCAGGGTAGACCTCTGTGTGACTCCTGAATAAAAGACCTGCAGCTCAGGAAGGCAGATTAGTCATAATGAGCCTTGTGAACTCGAATGCTCTGCAGCTCCTTCATCTTTTCTGCCAAAACAAGCAACATTACCAGAGTCTTGTGCACACTTGTAGTGCAGGGGGAGACTTTGCTCTCCTCAGCAGAGCAGGCACAGAGAATTATTGGTCAGAATTGGCTTCTGGGAAATGACTATCTCTGTGCCTTGCACTGGGGCAGGAAAAGCTCATTAGTCCTGCCAGAGAAAGCACCCACTGCTTGGGACAGACTGGCCTTTAACTGCATGATGTAAAATCTAACCTTGGCAAAGTCTGGCTCTAGACGTGGCTGCAGAGAATGTCTGAACCAGTCCCACAGAGCCACAGCCCATCAGGAGGTGCCCCTGTCAAACATCCTGTGCCTTCAACAGGCAGGCAGGCAGCAGGTGGGAAAGTGAGGGGCTGCAGCAGGAGCACCCGAGGATCTGAGGGCACGGCTTGTTCTTCCAGTGCTACAAATTCCAAAGAATTCTGTTCCTGCAGGGATAAACTGCCACTTTTGGGTCCCTGAGAGCTGACACAAAGAGGTACCCAGAGGGTCCTCCCATGCTGTCTGTGGGCTGTAGCCCTGTGGAGCACATCACTCATCCCATCCCGCTGATCCCAAAGGGATTTTGGTGCTCCAGAGAGATTTTGGTGCTGCATTCCCAGAGTGTTTGGGCTCAGATCCACCCTGGCCACGCAACACTGGGAATGACTGAATCGGCTCATTTCAGGTTTAAGGAATCAATAGTCTTGGGCTGCAATTTCTTCAGAAGCCCAGATGGATATTGATATCTCTGGGAAGGAAATGAATCCTCAGCTTCTTGTACCTTTCCAGAGGTGGGCCAGGAAAATGCTGGTTTCTCCCGTGAATCAATAATGTCAATAGCAGAGTCAATAGTGGGCCTGACATATTTTTTCCAAAAGCAAAGCACCAGAAAGTTCTAATATTAGAGAGGATTGAAAAAAGGTTCCTGACCTGCCTCTGCCACTGATCTACTGTGGGGCACTGGGCATGTTTTTACATTTTCCCTGTCTTAGCCTAAAGTTAGGACAAAGTTTTGGATTAACATGGACTTGGGAGTTTATATATTAATCAGCATCTGATTTCTTCCTGTTTCTTACTGTTGCTTTTATCCTCTAAAGTGGTCTGTGCCATTCCCACAGGATCCCTGACTGAGGAAATGCTGTCAGTGCATATTCAAATAAACCAAAATTTGCTGTAGATATGTTTATAAAAACACTGGCTGAGCTCTCTGGAGAACAAATCCGGGCTTGAAGCAGAGAGTCAATAACGATTTGTCAGCGAACAAAGGGCTGGAATATTCACTCTGGAGCTCTTGGGGTTGCAGAGTAACACTTAATTCTCAGAGTGGCTTCCTGAAAACTCAAAAACTCCGTTAATTTCCTTCTTGTGGGCAACTATAAAAGAAGTGCTGCTGAAAGGGGCCAGGATTCCATGGCAGGGCCATTGTTCCTCACCAGCAGCTGCTGCCTTTTGTGCTGGATCCTCATCTCCCTGAATGCAATATTCTGCAGAATAGATAAGGACGAGGGTGGGATGATTTAAAAGCACCTGGTGCAGTTCATGAATTCTGATCAACCTGAAGAAAAGCCAGTTCCCAGCTATCCCAGTGTGGATGGGGTTGGTTGGGTGTTGTCAGAGCTGTGTCACTCACACGTGACTCACAGCAGGGAAGCAGAGAAATGTTAAACTGTGATGGCCCCCACATATCTGAACATCCCAAATTCTGAGTGCTAACTAGGTTGTTTTAAAAGATGGAAGGAGATGAGTCTCCCTGTTCTCCCCATCTCCTCGTCTGGTGCTTTTTCTCTGCTAACAAAGGCCCTTGGGAACCTTGAGTGTTGGCAATCAGCTTGGAAAAATTCACCTGGATTGCAAGAGCCTCTTTTCTGCCTTTTCTGAGATTTATTTTTTTTTTCACCTCCTTGTTATTTTTCCAAAGCTTGGCAACCAGTGAAGACGTGTAATTAGAGTTAATTGTGATTGCTCGTGATGCAACAGCCCCCCACTGACTCCATGGTGCCTGTGGCTCACATGGAGTGGGAATGTTTCAGGGGGACAGGGCTACAGAACAGAGTGCCCCCAGTTTTTGTGTGGCTGCTGGGGACAGATCTGTGGTGGAGCCTCTGGTACCAATCAAAGCTTCAGCTGCAATTTTTCTTCCCCGAGGCAGAGGGGGAGACTGCCAACACTTTGATATATGATCAAAGGCAGCCCTGTCACATCCCCCAGTCGTACACCAAATCCAAAGCTGGCTCCTGCCCTTTTTCGGATCCAGAACTCACTGGGAATTTTGCTCCATTGTGCCTCTGTCACGTCGTGATT